TTTGTAGAGTGAACTAATTTTGCTAGTTTCCCCCCCCCCTTTTCCGTCGAGAGTATTCACGGTGTCGTCCTCTCTCCGTACGTCAACTCAGAGCTGAATGAGAAGAGGCCCATAAGTATGACTTACCAACTCCTTTCCTTACCCTCTGTAGGAAGTTTATTTTTGCTTATTTTCTGTCCCCCTTCTGGGTCTACGTAGTAACACCGTTAAGAAGGTGTACTGTCAAGGAGGCACGTTGCGGCATCTCAACTTTTAGGAGACCACGACACGCAAACTACAAAAGGGGTCCCCTCTGGTTGGTCTCCTCTGTATATATGCGGACACCGGTGTCGAGTGTTCGGTCACACCGTCCGCGACACGTCTGTCGTCGGCCCAACCGCGTTTGTCGATCGACGGTTAGAGGAACTAGGCCTCTGTACTGGCTGGTGTTTACTTCCCTCGTCTGTTAGTGGTTAGGAAAATGACTCACAGTCTCGGTTCTCGTCCGATGTAAACCGTACTGCTTTTGAAGTCCCCTTGACCAGTTTCCAAGTTTTCTTCGAGAATGAGTCACGCGCGTCGTGATGGTCGGTTTAGGGGAATCCCGCCGATTTCGCGCACTGTGGCCCAAGACTCAGAGACCTAGGCATCTTTGGCAAAACAGTCTCCCACTGTTGTGGCACGACTAGGGTTTGATGCCCCGTCTACTTACCGCGCCTATACAAAACGCACGATATCCGTTTAACGACAGGTCGTTGCGACCCCTTACTGGTCGTGAACTCGCCGCCCCCTGGATGCCACCAGGCCGAAAAGATGTATGGTTAACGACCTGGAACCTTACAGGAAACCGACAGATTCCTGCGGGACCCGCGCCGGGAACTTAGGCGACCTTACATGAGTGTTGTAGCAAACCTCTTACCCGGCGGGAGATTCACAAGGGAAAGTCCCGGTACGGGTGTTGCAACCGGACATGTGACCCACGCAGACTAGCGAGGGAGGTGACCCTCTCCCCGAGGACGCGTGCTAAGGTGCCAGAGGGACTGCGTAGCGACAGACTACCTTGGTCCTTCCGAGGGCACCGCGAGACCATAATTCCCCTGGGTGAAGTCAGCGAGGAGGACGTGAAGCCAGGCCGCGTCCCTAGTCTCCCATAGACCCCCCTTTCGCTATTATTGTGGGACCCGGTTCAACACACGCTTGTACCAGGTGGGGTACCCCCCCCAGTAGGACGTAAGAGTCCCTCGGCCCGGTGTAACACGCAAGGCGCACGTCGCTTGTCAGTGGAGGCGAGAGGGCTTGGGACGAGATGTGGACCTCTGGTCGGCCCCACCTCCGAGGTCAGGGGAACAGCTCCGGAGGAGACTGTACTCAGACGGGGAGCAGTGAGCGGTCTTATTGAGGCAGACTGTCTCTCATACACCACACACGCGGGTCGTCAAGGACCGACACAAGTCGTCGACGCGACTAGCAATGGTGGAAGGGACGCTAAATACACCGACGGCGAACGGACAACAGACAGCAGTTGGTACTAAAGTGTGTCGTTGCCGCCGCTTCACGACTAATAAAGGTATGCCTATAATTAAGGTCGTCGCAAAATATGTACACCCGTCGTGACAGGGGGGTGACCGGACAACCTGTACGTGCAGGAGGGGGAGATTCTCTCACGCAGACACTTTGCTACACACAACGTGCAAGTGGGACGGTCCCCTCCCAGCTAAAGATTTGGGTGCCGGCCTCTTATAGGTGGTACTGCAGAGTAGACTAACGCGTCCGCTTATGTGAGACTCAGACGAGTACAACTACCTGTGGGTCCCCTTAGGGTGCACTGGGCGACTTAGTACGAGGTGTCGACGTATGTCTCTCCCGACAGGGTGGGACGTCCACACGCGCGGACTCCTCCCGACAGCGAAGAGGTGAGAGCGCGACCACTCTCAGCAAGAGTAAGCCTGACTCAACTTAAGGTAGGGCTCTATTTATTATTAGACCCCCCCTGTTCCTCGAGAAGAAGGTCAACTACTACTTGGGTCCGAACCTGTCTACGCTGGTGTTCAAATCAGACATTCGTCGAAGGAGGGACCTCGCCTCGGTCGTGGTCGTCACCAAGGTCATTTAGTGTGAGAGTAGGGAGGAGACAATCGCCGAGGCAGGTAGAAGTGGTGAAACTTGTTCACGCCACCCGGTCCCTAATAGGCTTGCCGTCCAGCCAACTTGACACGCATAAGGGACCTTAACCTGGGCGACCGTAAAGGACACAAAGCCCGACTGCCAATACACCTTCATCGTAGGTAAGCCAGATACTCACGTGGTAGAAGGGACCACTGTGTGAGGGAATGGACAACTAAACAGTCTCAACTTTCCAGAAAAATAATAGTGGGAACTACCACCTGTAGACCTACCCAGAGGTGGGGGGGCAGAAAAAACCCTATTCTTTACTGCTCCCTATTTTTGGGGCTAAAGAAGGGGACTCCTGGGACCCTAGCGAGAGAAATTCCTCAAGGACGTCGAGACCCTGACCTCGCGTTCGGTGACAAAGAACCCTACGGTCCCACAAAGGACCTGAGGGGAGCTTGACACGCCCCCCGCCCCCCACCCCATAGCCGTTAACGCTCTATGGGGAGAACGACAGTCGGAACGCGAGGAGGTAGCAGGTATTTGTACGGCGGAGGTCGGTGGCCGACTCACCCGCATCGACAGAAAGACACGACACCATCAGACCACTGTTCGGGACGGTCTCGGGAAGGCGGCCAACGGACAACTTCGTTGGGGTTGCCCCGGGGGGGGGGGCTTTCCAGACCACTTCCCAGAGGTGTTGACGGGAGTGTGCCCGAGAGTAGGACAGAGACAAATCCTCTTCCAGGATTTGTCCTTGGGAACTCCGCACAGTGCGAGGTAGCGCCCACACCGTCGCGATAAGTGGAACACGCGCATATTGGCGCGGATTCCAATAATGCTGACACACATCCGTGGGACCCTGCTCCCTTGTTCGCGTTTTTAAACGACAGGTAGCCTATTTCACCTACTTTCGTTCCCTGATGGAGAATATTCATTTTTTAAATGCTATATTCCCTGGGAATGTCATGCTCCATTACGCATGGCGAAATGGACATGGGTTATTAATTGAGTAGGTGTGTGTTTTGTGCTTCTGGTAACGGACGGACCAGTGGTGCGCAGACTACATCCTGCTTCTCCCTTAACCCTAATAGCGATAGCCTTAGAGGGCGAAGCCTTATACGATATAGAACTGGGGGTTACGTACTGTAACCCAGCTTCTATGAGTATAGGCGCAGTCCTCTAAGGTTCAGGCCTCACTGGCTCCACGAATAGCTGAAGAAAAGCTGTTTGTGTGGGAGCAGATTGTAGGGCCTACTTCCTATTTTTACGGAAGTGAGCCCGGAGGTGGGGCCCACGTCATAGGTGGGCGTGGATTAAGTCTGTCAGTACACGTGTAGAGGGATTACCCAATAGCGATAGCCTTAGAGGGCTGCGCCTATACTAATAGAAGCTGGGTTACAGTACGTAACCCCAGTTCTCCAATAACACAAATTGTTCCTTGTTGAAAAGTCTGTTGCCAAATGTTGAATAAGCCTTAGCTTTACATTGTGGCTAGTGCTAATTAGCTAATATTAACATGTTAATAATAATATGTTAAACTAAAATGAGAAAAATGGGAAACATTACACTTACTACTTGTTAGCATTTAGCATAGCAATTGTTCCTTGTTAGCATTGTCTTAGTGAGCATGTTAGAATGGAGAGTATTTAGCTCAAAGCCCTGATGTGCCTGTGCCGCTTCACAGAGCTGCTAGCATGGCTGTAGACACTTAGTCTTGTTAATGTAATTTAAATTATATAAATCATAACCTAATCCTGTTTAATATCCACATTGTCCTACAAGCCAAGAAACCCAGGGATTCTTGATAAACTGCTTTAAGCTCTACAATTGGCATTTAATTCTGCAGGGAATATTATTTATGTTCATTTTTACAGAGTGAAAGTTATATCAGTTCATGACTGGACAGGCTAATCAAGATTGATTGAAGAAGCATTGATTATTTATTTCCATCACAGACACTTTTGTTAATTGGCTCTTATCCTTGAGCATGTTCCTGTTTCATTTTTACAAAT